GATTATTTACAGACCGCAGCCATATACACTGTACCTAGCACGTTACCAGCATCCCAACATGGCGGCAGGTAAGATCGCTTAGCGATTATTCCCCTCAAATTAGCAGCCTTCCAGTGTATACAATCAACATTATTCAGCACGCTGATAAACTTTGATGGTGGAAATACATTGAATGCACTGAATTTGCTTATTAATGTCTATGTGTTGAAGAATAAGCATGCTTGATACCGCTAGGGATGTCGGTAAGTCAAAGTCTGGATGTCGGTAGCGTGCAGTGAATGATGCTGGTAGCGCGTACTGTCTTGCTTTTTAGTCGGTAAGCAGAAATTGTCGAGTTATGTTTAAATACAAAGGAGATACAAATATCAGTTCTTACTTTTACACAGAATATGAAACAGTGGGTGCCTATGTTATACAAACACGATAAGTTGGATTAACAAGTGTTAACATTCAGTTCAAATCACTGGATTGTCAGGTTCATTGTTTTACAATCACCCGCCTGTTTGCCCAGTGTCTCACACGGTAACAGAACTAGTACCTCTATACCCAAGAGTGTAACTAATCCGGAAGGGGGTGATTAATTTAATTAAATATATTTCGTCATAAAGAAATAACCAGTGGCGTTAAGTAATTGTATTTAGTTCTTCACGTTGAAATTTAAGAGGTAACAAAAGTCTGACAAAGTAGAAGCAAAACAACCAGGACAAGAACTAGCAGTCTTGCATGTCTAAAACATAAACAAGAATATCTGTGAATCTCTGCTCCGTCACTGACTTCCACTGATCAATGTCTAGGTGGTTGTGTATGCTTATATATATGTGAAATCTGTCAATACATACGTTTCTGACTTGTCCTGTCCAAAGCGATTGTTTGTTTTGATTGACCGCGGCGATAGTGTGTAATTTACATACTTTCTTAACCCTTTTTGACTCTTAAAACGCAAGTGTGTAACACACAAATAGCCTATGTACGCGAAGTCTTCTCAGGTAGTGAGTATGGTTTAACGCCGCTTTTAGCAATATTCCAGCAATATCACTGCGGGGTCACCAGAAATGGGCTTCACACATTGTACCCATGTGGGGAATCGAACCGGGTCTTCGACGTGGCGATGAGCGCTTTAACCACAAGGCTACCCACCACCCAGTCTTCTCAGAAGAACGTCATGTAAAAAGCAGGGTTTCGACACTTATGCCTGTCCGCTTGCCCGTGGCAAGTACTAATTAATCAGGGCAAGTAAAATTGCTAAAAGGCTTGCCCGAGTGGCAAAGTACATATTTTTCAACTTCTAACCCCAATTCATTCATTAAAACTCTTCACTTGCTGTGTTTTGTTTGTCTAGTTCTTTCTATACCATAAGTAACATAGGGCAAGTAGTATCTGTGATGGGCAAGTAGTTTAACTTTTCTACTTGCCCTCTTAATAAGTGGGAGAAATCAGTGAGTGTCAAACCCTGTAAAAGCTGATTTGATTCGCGATCCCTTCCTGTGTACCCGCGTGACTGTACTGCACCACGTTTTGTACAAGGCCTAGTATACCCAATATTGTGTGCCTCAAGTTGTCTAGCGCCGAGTAAATACAAATCACTGTGTAAGGAGTATCAGTGTCGTTAATATATAAAAATGAAATAACGCAAGCATAACGTTCCTGTAAGTATATATAATGTGACCTCACTAATCCAGACTGTTGTGATACCAGTACAGCCATCCTGATTATCAAATGTCCTGATATGCCAACATTGTTATCTTGATAAATCAATAAATGTCGTTTGTTTATACAAGATGTGGGCAGAATGACCTCAGCAGACATGGCGGCTTTCCAGAGAGACGGTCCGCAATAGTAAGCGCTACCTTTACATGAATAAAATGACAGATACAGCGTTTACAAAGCTAAAGCTCATTAGAAGGAATTTTAACTTCGACTCTGCTTTTAGCCGATTTCTTGCATTGTAGTACCGAATCCTCGTGTATTTTTGTCCATATTTTGGAATATTGGTTTCCAGACACATTTCCAAGTCACGTGTATGGTCACAATAATCACTTCTTTGAAATTAATGTTCTTATTGAATATAAAAAAATAAATAATTTCACCTGTGAACTGCCAGTAATGTCAACACACAAGTTCACGTCGGCTCTCCTATGCTGCATATCCCAGCGTGTAGTGTCAGTTTCAACCACGTGAATTTCGGTGCAGCACAGTCGCTCCCACTTTCGTGGGGACAAGAAGCCTATATTGAAGCGGCCTTAGCCAGGTTATAAAACTTGGACAGACTGTAGATACACGTCTCAAGCTGTTTGGTTGTGATGATGATATGGTATCGAAAACTTTGACAAGCAATCGCGTAAAATTTAATCGCCAGACCTGGAACCAAATATATCCAAGAAAGCCTATGCAATTCTATAATAATGTGGCAATTCAAGATTACTGCAGTCTCTGAAGATGAAGAGAGTGTCTTGGCTCTTGTTTTATTAAGTGAATTTACCAACTGTTATTTATTCAGTAAATTATGTTAATTTCAGATACCAGATGTTTGTGTATGCCAGAGGGCACGACATTTTTCTGGGAGTGAGTGAGCTTATAGTTTTACTTCTTCTTGTAGCAATATTCCAGCAATATCCACGGGATACAAGAATGGGCTTCACACATTGTACCCATATAGGAATTGAACCCAGGTTTTCTTATTGACGAAGCTTAACACTTTAACCACACGGCTACCCCACCGCCTTCTTTTCTGGGAACTTAAATGTACAGATGTCTTGAGGCGAGTGTGTAAACAATGTAAATAGGTACATTTGGAACTGACTTTAATCAAAGGCTGTTTGGCTCAGGTATGACAGGAATATTGCAGAGAGTAGCAAAAACATAAGTAATGTAAATAATATAAACATAATATAAAAGGTGATTAAGGGGTCGTGTGGTCAGGCCCGATGCATATGATCACTGGAGTGCCTGATCAAGACTCGATTATTTTACAGACCGCCGCTATATACCTGGCTGACTGACTGACTGAGTTTAGTTTTACGCCGCTTAGCAATATTCCAGCAATATCCGCGGCCAGGGGACACCAGAAATGGGCTTAAACACATTGTGCCCATGTGGGGAATCGAACCGGGTCTTGCTGACGAATAGCGCTTTAACCACTAGGCTACCCCACCGCCCCCTATATAGCTGGAATAGTGCTGGGTGTGCGTTAAACAAAATTAGAAGATCGTTGCTTTTATGTCGTAAGCTGCCAGAGCCAGTTTCCCTTCACTGGAGACATATATTGCCATATGCAGATTAACTGGCCCGTCCAAGACTTGGGTTAGAATTGATCTTGAACAGCTCATACTTGTAGTAACCATATCCCAACAATGGAGTTGACCCATGTTCAAATGTCAATCACCGGGCTTGTCTGGTGCAGACTTGGTAATTTACACAGATCACTGCCATTTAACTAGATTATTGCTGAGAGCGCTAAAGAGATAACAATAGATCAACAAAGGAATTTGCGGTGAAATTTTGTAGTGCTGAGTGAGAGTGTGAGTGACTTAGTTTAGGTTTAGTCTATCACTCCCGTCACATTGCTTCCAAACAGAAATAGCTTATTGACACAGTGGGCATATTAGTGTCATTGGTCATCACATGCTTTTTCCATCTTGGGGTCATTCCATGATATATATAGTGCGGGATAATAAACTTTGGACATATATTAGCCAAACCCAGTGCAGCTGTATGAAGAACATGATGTAAATATTTCATTTTCGTTGGTTGCAAGTTCTAATATGTCTAAAGTTGTGATATTCTAGTTATTTTACTGACCTTTATTGACAGGTTTTCATATGGTTAAAGATTGGGTTTTCTTAATCTGTAGGTTTCATAGTCTGAAATATTGCCGATGTGACTTTAAATGTATTCACTCACTCACTTGTACAAAACATAGTCTCTAAATAATATAGATGACAACGATAAAAATGTTCATATCTATTAGAAAATCGTCGGGTGGTCAGACTCTCGCTGATTTGGTTGACCTTATCGTATCTCAATTCGCGCAGGTCGATGTTCATGTTGTTGATCAGACTCGATTATTTACAGACCGCCATATAGCTGGAATATTGCTGACTCTGGCGTAAAACTAAACTCACTCACTCTTACAAAATCGCACAATTTATTACTTTTCATATTTGAAACAAAGACAGATTGTAGCAAATGTTCAAGTGTTCAGTTGCCAATGCAGAAGCAATGTTTTTTAAGGTATCGACCTCACATCAATCAAATTTTAAACATATTTTTCAAAACATTGTCATGTGGTTATTGAAATATATCGCAACCATACATACCATCTATTTATAAAATATTTTGTATTCACTTCTCTATACAGACAAACGTGTTTTTGTATTGCTTGAAAATATGTGTTATCCTTGTGTCTAAATCTGGACAATAAGCATGCTGCACTTCTCCACATTCAGGAAGGTTGTAATATATTCTGACACTCAGCGGGATCGCTGGTAAGAATTTCCCACCTGTGAGCCATGCGGTTGTAAGAAACCACTCAAAGGGTCGAAGCCGGGCTTTCGCATTAACTTTGAAGTTAGCATCTTGCAAGCTGACAACATTGTGTTTTCCTCAGATGCACATGCAGTCACATGACCCACATCGTGTCCAGCGGGGCCCCTTGACATATTTTATCGTCATTGATAAAACACCATACTGCAGAGATACCAACACAAAATCAAATTTACTGAAACAATCAAGTCAGGGATCATCAATATATTAGGAATTATATTTTAATTCTAATTTTCATTTTGTTATTCTTTTTAATATTCAAGATCCTAACTCTCTTTATAACATTGAAACAATATCGGTGCACAAAGCTGTAACGTCGACATGAGACACTGTATGTATATTTCTGAGGAATGTTTACTTCGGACCAGACAATCCAGTGATAGTGTCAATAACAGCTAGCTCTATCTATGCTACAAATATCTAACCATGAGCGTTATTTCAAAAAAGTTACGATACACCTCACAAAAGCTGTATGATTTCGTGTACATAATGTGTTTAAATGTTTTAGTTCCTTCATATATACAACAATCCACAAGAATTTTAATCACTTAATTGTTGCAAGCATAACGTTTCATTTAAAGTTTAGGGTCAATAAATTTTCAGTTGACATTCTGATGCCTTTCCTGTTTGTCTTCACCTGGCCGCCATTTTAAGTTTAGTGACAAGCGCGAGGTAATTTTTTTTTTCTACATAGTGCAGAATCCATTGGAGTGTTAAAAGTCACATTTGTAAATTTAAAATTTCGTAGAATTTCATTTAAAAGGAATCTGTGGTATTACTGCAAATCCAAAACCAGTCGGTGAAACAGTCAACCTTTGAAAACATGTTTTCTAAAATTTCCCGGTTTCAAGCCAAACTGAGATTTGGCGTCTGCCACTGTCAGCTGAGTCACTGTCAAGTTCACAAGATGCGAGGACAAAGGTAATGGCGTCATGTTTACAGATCTGGCGTCACCAGCTTCAGGCGCCTGTCGAAGGTTATGTCAGAGATATTTTTATGACTGGTCGGACTGGCCAGAGAACAAAAGATGCTTTTACTATTGACTACCTGTGCAAAGGTCGTGATATTATAACATGGTTAGACTAACATCTAGTCTCTGAAATGAGCATATGTGACAGAATATAGAGTTCCAACATTTTATTCATTCAATATGAGACTTTCCTTATCTAGACTTGCTACATATTCTACCCCTCGTGGACTACATTGGGTAGGTCTAGTTCAGGGTCTGTACGCATGACAGACTATACTAGGGGTATTAATGATTGTCATAAACATTACAGATATAATAACAGAGTATTGAATCTACTGGATATCATTTGGCAATTCCATATATTCTATATTTAAATGATAAACAGCTTATATGTTTTACAATATCATGTTAATTATGCCATGTAACCCTGGCAGGCACTGAAAGCAGAGACCATCTGAAAGTAAATAAACTCAAAATTAATGCATTTTTCATGCTGATAAACATTTGGATTTTTAAAATTACATATAGATAGATATATTCGAGCCAAATTAAACGATAAATGACCCTCGATTAAGCCCAATTAGAATATTAATAGAAAAACAGAGACAGAAACAAAATTAATATTTTTTTATCTGTGGTAATGCGCTTGCTGTCTATGACGACCTTGAACTTTCTTGAACTAGAAAATGGCGGCCAAGAAGAGAGTACTGGAAATGATGCGGGATTTTTGCAGTTTATGAACAAAATGCGATGTGTCATGGGATTTCCTATCAGCGTGGGGATACATAAGGTAGTGTCTTAACGGTTTTACCTTTCAGATATATTTTTTATATTGTTTTGATTACGTTGTAGACAAAGATTTAGCAAGGCATACATGCAACTGCACCATCAGCCACTGTTGCCAGTGTTGAGCACGGCAGGGACAGGCAAGCGTCAACAGGCGATTGATCTCAACTCCTCTCGCGAAAAAGGCAGTGTTTGTAATTATTATAACAGCTAAATCTGAACGATCAAAAGTCTGTCATTCATTCATGCATGGTAAGTGTATCCGATGTGTATTTGTTTATATTTATTTTTAACTTGAACAATATCGCTGGAAGAAATTCCACAAAGCTGAAACTCACATGGTGTCGCAGACCAAAATGTGTGCAGTTTGTTCAAATGGCATCTTTCCGAGGTATCTTTTTGTTTTACATGACGAAATCCCACTCGGAACTCTTGGTAGGATGGACGAAGCATACATGAACTGCCCATCGTTTAAGATAATTTGACTTAGGCCCCAAAAAATAAATGTTGTGGTTCCGATTTCCTACATTTCAGAACTAGGGTAGGTAGGTAGGGTTTTTATTTCTGCAAAATATTTTTACATTACTCATGTGTCAGAAAATAAATTTAATTTATTATGTGGTGAGTATTTAGGGTCGGTCGGGAAATCGGAACCACAAGCTTTTTTTTTTAGGCCTTAGTTAGTAAGTGGCATATTTTGACAGCAATCTTTGCATCAGTAAAATTTACAAAAAATGACAAATTCTTATCTTTAAAAATCACATGAGAGAGCAATCAGTAACTTTTATGTGATAGATATAAACACATTGTAATTCACAGTTGTTGTTGCTTGATCTAGTGGAATACAAAAAATGATCTCTTGAAAAATGGTTTTAAAAAGTAGCCTAGGCACTTTGAATTCCTTTTAGCAAATACCTAAACCTATAGGGACTTTGCCGTAATATTAATATATTTAATCGGACTTATTCTTGTAGGAATGTTTTGATTACGTGATTATTTTGGTTGAATTGATTATAAATTATACTTTCCAATAAGGTTTCCTTGGGTTATAGGTGAAATAATGACCACCAAGCGAGTGGTTCGCTGTGATAACCACCTGGAGGGAACAGAGAGGTAGTTATGGAAGCCAATCACGACCTTAAGGTTGTTATTTCTCATATGTCAAAAACATTCTTATTTTAGTTGAATTATTATTAACTGCAATGTGCAGATGTACTAATAAAATTTCTAAAAAATTCAATGGTTCTGTATTTATGTATTGAAGATGTTTCCAATACAAACATTGATCATGAGGCAGAGGCATAGGGATGTGAAACCCATTATGCTAAGGAAAAAGTTCTTCTTGAGGTGCGATACCAGGAATAAGGTGAGGCAAAGCCGAGCCTTGTTCCCGGTATAGCACCGAGAGTTGGTCAGATAACTGCCCCAGAGGCTTACGGTTGTTATTTCGCATATGCCATAAGTTCTAAAACATACCTATTTTAGTTGAATTATTGTATATTGTTATAACCATGATTATTTATATTATTCTATGATGATATTACACTCAATAAGCATTGAAACTAACAACTAAACACTGTGTTAATAACATACAACAAGAAGAATTTTCTATATCTACAAGAGAATACAATACATAGAAAATACACTTTTGGAGTATTTTGTTCCAAATTTCTAATTTTGGGCACAAAGCTTGACATATGCTTTAAACTATAACAACTAAACACTATGTATTAAACATGCAATAAAGAAAAATATTAAAATTTAGCTATCTCCTACATAGAATACAATATATGGAAAATACGCCGTTGGTGAAATTAGTACCAAAATGTTAATTTTGTAAAACTAAGAATCAACTAACAACGAAAGGCTGTGTTAATAACGTACAAATATGAAAAGGTATTCGAATCTCCTCTATAGACATCAGTGATATACGAAAAAAGAATAATTAAACAACGCAATTTTTTGTTATTTTCCTTCGGGAGTTCTAGAAATACAAACAAGCTTAACAAACACCATTCAACACTTGAAACTCACAATGATTTTCAAAGATCTTGCATGTGTATGCGAGGTGAGTGTGCGGAATACGTTCCTGCACCAGAACCTCCTGCAAATTGAGCAATTAACAATCATGTGCAATGTAAAACCAAGTGACTAAAACTGACAGTGCTGTACAAGTCATTACAGCAAATGAATGCTGATATGGAGGTGCTCTTGGCTTCACAGCGAGCTGCTATGACTCTGTTCCAGGCGGGCGTGGATCAAGAATCAAACTGGTTATCTGGTAAGTATCGTGCCCTACATAGCATTTATCTGTATCTGTACTTGTACTGAATTGAAGCTGTCAGAGGAGCATACTCATTACCACCTCCCTCCTTGTTCCTTTTTCGAAAATCTTTGCAAAAGTTAAATTCACAGATAATAAAGTAATCTAATTGAATTGCTTGTAATGTATTGGCTGTGTCTTTTATTTAGATGGCTACCTCGTAACACTGTCCTATTCCTCTGGTTAACACTAAGGGACCCTTCATAATTTATGGGTATGGGGGCATGTGTGTGTGTGGGGGAGGAAGAGAAAACTCGCCCCCTGTTGTCCATATTGAGGTTGACCCAGTGGACACACCCTCCCCCAGGTGACACACCCTTCCCCAGATGACAAACCCCCACGTGAACACAGTCCTGCCAGATGCCAGACCCCCATAAGGTCACCCATGTAGATACCACTTGGGTGACACACCGTCCCCAGATGACAGATCCTCCCAGGTGAACACAGTCCTGCCAGATACCAGACCACCATAAGGTCACCCATGTAGATACCACTTGGGTGACACACCGTCCCCAGATGACAGATCCCCCAGGTGAACAGTCCCATGCCAGATACCAGACCACCATAAGGGTGACCCATGTAGATACCCCCAGGTGGCACACCTCCCCCAGATGACAAATCCCTATGTAACACAGTTTCCACAGATGACAGATCCCCCACGTGCCACACCCTCCCCAGATGACAGACCCCATAAGGTGACCCATGTAGATACCCCTAGGTGACACACCCCTCCCCAGATGACAGACCCCATAAGGTGACCCATGTAGATTGACCCAGGTGACACACCCTCCCCAGATGACAGACCCCCATAAGGTGACCCATGTAGATACCGCAGGTGACACACCCTCCCCCAGATGACAGACCCCCATAAGGTGACCCATGTAGATACCCCCTAGGTGACACACCCTCCCCAGATGACAGACCCCCATAAGGTGACCCATGTAGATACCCACAGGTGACACACACCGTCCCCAGATGACAGACCCCCATAAGGTGACCCATGTAGATACCCCTAGGTGACACACCCTCCCCAGATGACAGACCCCATAAGGTGACCCATGTAGATTGACCCAGGTGACACACCCTCCCCCAGATGACAAACCCCCATAAGGTGACCCTTGTAGATACCACGCAGGTGACACACCCTCCCCCAGATGACAGACCCCCATAAGGTGACCCATGTAGATACCCAGAGGTGACACACCGTCCCCAGATGACAAACCCCCACGTGAACACAGTCCTGCCAGATGCCAGACCCCCATAAGGTCACCCATGTAGATACCTCAGAGGGTGACACACCGTCCCCAGATGACAGATCCCCCAGGTGAACACAGTCCCGCCAGATACCAGACCCCCATAAGGTGACCCATGTAGATACCCCTAGGTGACACACCCTCCCCACAGATGACAGACCCCCATAAGGTGACCCATGTAGATTGACCCAGGTGACACACCCTCCCCAGATGACAGACCCCCATAAGGTGACCCTTGTAGATACCCCCAGGTGACACACCCTCCCCAGATGACAGACCCCCATAAGGTGACCCATGTAGATACCCAGCAGGGTGACACACCGTCCCCCAGATGACAGATCCCCAGGTGAACAGTCCCATGAGATACCAGACCACCATAAGGTGACCCATGTAGATACCACGCAGGTGACACACCGTCCCCCTAGATGACAGATCCCCCAGGTGAAGACAGTCCCGCCAGATACCAGACCACCATAAGGTGACCCATGTAGATACCCCCAGGTGGCACACACCTCCCCAGATGACAAATCCCTATGTAACACAGTTTCCACAGATGACAGATCCCCACGTGCCACACGTCCCCCCAGATGACAGACCCCCATAAGGTGACCCATGTAGATACCCCTAGGTGACACACCCTCCCCCAGATGACAGACCCCCATAAGGTGACCCATGTAGATTGACCCAGGTGACACACCCTCCCCCAGATGACAGACCCCCATAAGGTGACCCATGTAGATACCCGCAGGTGACACACCCTCCCCAGATGACAGACCCCCATAAGGTGACCCATGTAGATACCCCTAGGTGACACACCCTCCCCCAGATGACAGACCCCCATAAGGTGACCCATGTAGATACCCGCAGGTGACACACCGTCCCCAGATGACAGACCCCCATAAGGTGACCCATGTAGATACCCCTAGGTGACACACCCTCCCCCAGATGACAGACCCCCATAAGGTGACCCATGTAGATTGACCCAGGTGACACACCCTCCCCAGATGACAGACCCCCATAAGGTGACCCTTGTAGATACCCCCAGGTGACACACCCTCCCCCAGATGACAGACCCCCATAAGGGTGACCCATGTAGATACCTTGAGGTGACACACCGTCCCCCCCAGATGACAGATCCCCCAGGTGAACAGTCCCGCCAGATACCAGACCACCATAAGGTGACCCATGTAGATACCCCCAGGTGGCACACCCTCCCCCAGATGACAGATCCCTATGTAACACAGTTTCCACAGATGACAAGATCCCCCAGGTGACACACCCTCCCCCAGATGACAGACCCCCATGAGTGACCCCATGTAGATTGACCCAGGTGACACACCCTCCCCCAGATGACAGACCCCCATAAGGTGACCCATGTAGATACCCCCAGGTGACACACCCTCCCCAGATGACAGATCCCCTATGTAGCACAGTTTCCACAGATGACAGATCCCCCACGTGCCCATGTATCCCACCTCCCCAGATGACAGACCCCCATAAGGTGACCCATGTAGATACCCCTAGGTGACACACACCCTCCCCCAGATACCAGACCACCATAAGGTGACCCATGTAGATTGACCCAGGTGACACACCCTCCCCCAGATGACAGATCCCCATGTAACACAGTTTCCACAGATGACAGATCCCCCATGCCCACACCCTCCCCCCAGATGACAGACCCCATAAGGTGACCCATGTAGATATCCCTAGGTGACACACCCTCCCCAGATGACAGACCCCATAAGGTGACCCATGTAGATTGACCCAGGTGACACACCCTCCCCCAGATGACAGACCCCCATAAGGTGACCCATGTAGATACCTCCAGGTGACACACCCTCCCCCAGATGGCAGACCCCCATAAGGTGACCATTACGATCCCCACTGTAAAAGCCTCCAAGATCGATACTAATTTGCATACACCTGTCCTAAGTGAGACACTGAATGATGCACAGTAAAAACATTTGTTTTGTGTTGTATTTTTTATGCAATGACTGGAGTCTTGAACTCTAACACATGGCACCGTTTTGAAAGTTGGCACGATTTGACACCAATTTGGTCGGTAAGTTGAAGAAGTAAGTAGATGAAGAGAGTGTATTTCTTGTAACATGTGTTATATTTGGGATTACACTTTCTTAGTAAAGTACAAATTCTAGTACTTTTTGAGTTGAGCCCCTTCCGGGATTCGAACTCACACCCTCAGAGTCAGGCACCCAATCGCCAGCACACAAAGTCAGCCGCCTAACCCACTCAGCTACCGCGACTTCCACAAAAATGGAAGTCGGACAACTGGTAGTCTAGACTGCGGGCTTTGTGTACCCCTCTGAGAAGTGTTAATTGGCACTGCTCCCACGGCTGAAAGCTATGACTACACAATGCCATTTAGAAAGTGGTCAAATGTAACATGTGTTAGATTTGGGATTGCACTTTCTTAGTAAAGTACATATTCTAGTACTTTTTGAGTTGAGCCCCATCAATGGCATTGTGTAGTCATAGTGTATTTCTTGTAATTTAATCTACTCTGCTTCTGGTTTGTGACACTCTAAGAATGGTCAAGTGTTACTGTATTTATAGATTTGGCTAACAGAGTGTCTCAAGTATGATTTGTAGAGCTTCAGATTTGTGACAATCTCTTGGAATGGCTAACGTAAAGGAGACTCTGTATAGTCACCAGATAGATACTAACATGGGTAGATTACAGGGTGTCTTCAGGGTGGTTTGTGTATCTTCAGTAAAGAGGTTTTTTTCTGGAAATAGCTGAGTGGTCAAATAGACTGTGTATAGTCACCAGATAGATACTAACATGGGTAGATTACAGGGTGTCTTCAGGGTGGTTTGTGTATCTTCAGTATAGAGACTTTTCTGGAAATAGTCAAGTGGTGGTCAAATAGACAGTGTAAAGTCACCCGATGGATACTAACATGGGTAGATTACAGGGTGTCTTCAGGGTGGTTTGTGTATCTTCAGTATAGAGGGTTTTTTTGGAAATGGTCAAGTGGTGGTCAAATAGACTGTGTACAGTCACCCGATGGATACTAACATGGGTAGATTACAGGGTGTCATCAGGGTGGTTTGTTTATCTTCAGTTTAGAGGTTTAGAGACTTTTCTGGAAATAGTCAAGTGGTGGTCAAATAGACTGTGTAAAGTCACCAGACAGATGACAGATGCATGCATAGGTAGATTACAGGGTGTCTTCTGGGTGGTTTGTGTATCTCCAGTATAGAGGCTTTTTTGGGAAATGGTCAAGTGGTGGTCAAATAGACAGTGTAAAGTCACCAGACAGATGCACGCATGGGTAGATTACAGGGTGTCTTCAGGGTGGTTTGTGTATCTCCAGTATAGAGACTTTTCTGGAAATAGTCAAGTGGTGGTCAAATAGACTGTGTATAGTCACCAGATAGATACTAACATGGGTAGATTACAGGGTGTCTTCAGGGTGGTTTGTGTATCTTCAGTAAAGAGGTTTTTTCTGGAAATAGCTGAGTAGTCAAATAGACTGTGTATAGTCACCAGATAGATACTAACATGGGTAGATTACAGGGTGTCTTCAGGGTGGTTTGTGTATCTTCAGTATAGAGACTTTTCTGGAAATAGTCAAGTGGTGGTCAAATAGACAGTGTAAAGTCACCCGATGGATACTAACATGGGTAGATTACAGGGTTGTCTTCAGGGTGGTTTGTGTAACTTCAGTATAGAGGTTT